AGACTCTCAGGAAAGGCGGGTTTTGAGTCTGCTGTCTGTTCCTTTTTTTAATTGTTGTTATATATTTGCTTATTTGAGAAAGAGAGAGAGGGAGGGGCAGAGAGAGAGAATCCCAAGCAGGCCTGGTGTTATCAGCGCAGAGCCCGAGGTGGGGCTGGGTCCCACAAACCACTGAGATCAGGACCTGGTCTGAAATCGGGAGTCAGTCGCTTGATCAAGTGAGCCACCCAGGAGCCCCTTGCTGTCTGTTCCTAACAAGAGATATAGAAAGTTCCTTCTCCATTCTGACAAGATGGCCACCTCTCTTACCTTGACTAGAGCATACGATTCATACCTTTGCCAAAATTTATTCTGATTCTTGTTATGCCTGTAAAGCTGGCTATGCCTTCGGAATTGTTCATGATCTTAGTTAGACAGTAGCAGAAATAACTGAAGTCTCTTACCTCAGCTGAGTTAACATTTCTAATAGCCCTAGTATCAAACACTTTGCTCAGCAAAACCTCAAAACGATGTCATGCATGGACAGTTCTAGACGATGCCGCAGTGTAAGGCAGCAGTCATACATACCCTTTTGCCTGGCCATACTGCCATTTTCTTCTCACTACCAAACATCTCCCTGAACAAAGGTGCGGTCTTATTTTGAGGACAGGATCCGAATTCAAAACAGCTCTCTTAAATAGAACAGGATCGTTTTAACACCCAGGAAGCGTCTCAATATCACTATCCTGGCCACTTCTGTTGTCATTCAAATACCTTCTCATTTGCCATGTATATAAGACCATGGCAAAGCACAAGGGTTCAAAGGGAGAAAATGAGAGCAGTTAGGAATGATCTGTACACCCAAAATGGTTGTCAATTGTTTCACTGGCCGTGTATGTCAAACCCGCTGTGTAAGCAAATCAATTAAGACAAAGCAAACAAGCTACTGTCATCCACAAGGGCCATTTGTAAACATCCAAATCTTACCCAAATGAAGACATGTGCTACACATAAGTTAATGTGTTTTGGACTGAGTAATTTCAGCTTTTCACCGAAACAGTTAAAAGAAGTTTTATTCCTAAATTTCGGATAGCCTTACCAATAAAGAGAGGGTGGCACACCTTAACAGATGCAAAGAAAGTATATTAAAATATACACACTCTAACTAGGCGATCATTGTCCACATCACCTAGCATCAACTTGGAACAGTGGCACATCAAAATAAAGTACTATAATATAAACTGGCCCATGGCTTAAATGAGTATGAGAGGCACAACTAATTAAAAGACTCGCTACAATTTATTCCACAGAGCGGCAAAGGTGGGCTTTCTAAATCAGAAATAGATAGTGTGGTCATTATTCTAAATGATCACATTTAGAATAAACTCCAGGGCTGCCTGGGTGGCTCAGTCAGTTAAGCATTCAACTTCAGCGCTGGTCATGATCTCAGAGTTCATGAGTTTGAGCCCCGCGTCGGACTCTCTGCAGTCAGTCAGCAGAGAGCCCGCTTCGGATCCTCTGCCCTTCTCTGTCTCTGCCACTCCCTCACTCACACTTTGTCTCCCAAAAATAAACATTAAAATGAAAATAAACTCCACAGGGGGCGCCTGGGTGGCTTAGTCGGTTAAGCGTCCGACTTTCGCTTAGGTCATGATCTCGCGGTTCGTGGGTTCGAGCCCCACGTCGGGCTCTGTGCTGACTGCCAGCTCAGAGCCTGGAGCCTGTTTCAGTCTGTGACTCCCTCTCTCTCTGACCGTCCCCTGCTCACGCTGTCTCTCTCTCTCTCTCCTAGAAATTAAAAAAAAAAAAAAAAAGAAACTCCACAGGACATCTGGATGGCTCAGTCAGTAAAACGTCTGACTTTGGCTCAGGTCATGATCTTGCAGTTTAAAAGTCTGAGCCCCTGCATCGGCCTCTGTGCTGACAGCTCAGAGTCTGGAGCCTGCTTCAGATTCTGTGTCTCCTTCTCTCTCTGCTCCTCTCCTGCTCGTGCTTGCTCGCTCGCGCTCTCTCAAAATAAATAAACATTTAAAAAAATTTTAATAAAAAACATAAAAAACAAACTCCAAATTCGTAAAGGCTGACATCAGGACTACTGTAGCTTCCATCATTTTCTACTCTGGTATACTATAATGCCACGAGGAAGTGCACACTCAGGGAAGGCACACTGTTACAGGAGCCAAAAAGCAGGGATACGACACACTATCAGTAAACTAACCTCCCTAATATTATCAGAGAAAACGGAACACACAACTCTCCAACTGTATCATTCAAAAGTCAAAATCCATTCCAGAAAGAACCGACTATACGTCTGTAAGTAAATGCCGTAACTCAGTAGCAGCACCATTTCAGGTGTTTAACAATAACTGTCCCAATGGAACCTCCCCGGAGAACATAAACACGTGTGTCCACTTTAACGTGCAATGTCTGTGAGGTTTATTCCAGAAAACCTCAAACTTACTCAGAAGCCTGTCGTATTACTCACAATAGTCTCTCAGCTATAGGTTTCTAGAAAACAAATACGGAATATACCTAACACCACAAGCAAAGTGGCTGTCAGCTATACTGCCTCTTTCTGAGAAATTCTCAGAGCACATCTATCTCCTCCTGAGAGGTTTACTCACAGAGTTGTGCAGAGCCTCCAATCTTTTTTTCTTTTTTAAATCTTTGTAACGATACAAATAACAGCCATGAAACAGCATGGATCGTGAGTAAGCAGAAGCCAGCTAGTCTTGGTAAAGACAGGGAGAGACCAGAGCTGAGGGCCCATGATGACACAGCACCAGAGAGGCGAGGAACAAGGTGTTTGTTTGCTGAAGCGATGGTGTAACCAAGTCCCTGGAGCCGCATTACATCCTATCCAGAACATTCCAATGCCCCAGAAGGGCTTCCGAGATGAGTTACGGTTCTTAATCTCCCCACGGAGCTGTTCTATAAATCTGCAAGACATTAGTATGCTCCCACAACACAACGCTCTTCCATTTCGCCCTCAAACCTCTTCTTTTAAGTTTTCCCCACCATCCATCCAGCTGCTCAAGCCAAATACCTGGGAGGGTTAAAAAACAAAAAACAAAAAAAAAAAAAACCCTTATTGTGGATATTTTCAAACACTGACAAAAATGAAGACACTGGTACCCATTACTGAGCTTTACGGAGTACCAATGCCCGGTCAAGTACGTTTTATCTGCCCTACATCACATCCCAGATCAAAGTTAATCCTTGATTTTTTTTTTTCCTTTCATCCCTCACAACTTGGAGGAAAGTCTTGTCATGATTTCTAAATGTATCCTGAAGCCACCACTTTCGCATTTTCACTAACATCACCCTCATGGAAGCCATCACCGCTTCTCAAATACGCTTCCACAACAGCCTCCCAGCTGCTCTCCCTGCCTCGATTTGTGCTCCCTACTTCAACTTATCCCCCAAAGCAGCCAAGATGAATTTTAAAAACGAGAAATCACCTATGTGTGGTTTCCTATCGCATTTAGAATAAACTCCAAATTCACAAAGCCTTGCATTAAGCCTGCTGACCACTCTGACCCCAATCACACAGCCTCTCAGTCCTGCTAAGCCACAGTGGCCTCCTTATGTTCTCCAAAGTCCAAGCCGAGTCCTGTCACAGGGCCTCTGCACAAGCTGTTGCCTTGGCCTGCAATGCTCTTCTCCAGATCTTCACCTTGCTGACTCCCTGTTGTCTTTCAGACCTCAGCTTAAACGTGGCATCCTCTAAAAAGCATTCCTAGGCCACCCAAGCTAGAGTAGTCACTTGATCACTTACTATCACAACTCCATTTGAATTGCCTCCATAACTCTGATGACCACCATTTGATACTTTTATCTATCTTTTTGAAAAAAATTTTCTCTCCCCATTAGAGGATAAGCTGCTAGAACAGAGATGATAAGAAGACCTACCCAATATGTTCATTCTGCTTTCTTCATAAGAAATTCTAATTTCGTCCACGTATCAACTCCTGCCCTGTGCCGTCATGGGCCACAGGAGAAGCTGACCCTTTTATCCTCCAACTTAAAGGAATGGTATGACTGACTGATGAAAAATCTCCTATCCCCCGCCAATGACTATTTCAAAAACGAGTGTCTGGCCTTATTCTGGCCAAGAATATACAAGCAAGGCTCACTAGAGGTTTCTAAAAAAGTTGTTCCCTGCTCCTATAAGAATCATAGAAGGCCCCAGTCTTTTTCTCCCTCTGGTCATGAATGAACAAACATGGTGCCATAGTCCATCTATGAGAAAAACAATCTTTAGGATGAAGTCAGTACTGTGTATGCAGAGTAGACAGAAGGAAAGACCTTAAGTCCTTGAGGATAGTTGAATCTCCTGATCAATCAACCTATGAGTCCAGACTACCTCTGACTTCCTTCTATATGAGCTAATGAATCTCCTTGTTATTTAAGCCAGTTTAGGTTAGATTTTCTATTACTGATAGATGAAAATACATCCAGGGACTTCCTCTACCTTACTCATTGTTATATTTCCAGCACCTAGAAAAATGCCTAGATTATGGGGGGCACTTAACAGATATGAATTGAATAAGTGGAGATGTCTAAAATAATAACTCATGAAGGAGAAAGAATCCTAAAACAGTTATTCCATTCAGCCTGCTTAGCTGTAAAGTCATTAAATCCTTAAGAAAGGTATCCACTTGGGGCACCTAGGTGGCTCAGTCAGTTAAGCATCTGACTCTCAATCTCAGCTCAAGTCATGATCTCACAGTTCGTGAGATCAAGCCCCCCCCCCCGCCCCCCATCAGGCTCATGCTGACAGCATGGAGCCTGATTGGGATTCTCTCTCTGTCCCTCCCCTGGGGAGGGACATGCTCTCTCTCTCAAAATAAGTAAATAAACCTTAAAAATAAAAATATCTACTTAAGTACTATTAAGTAAGCATAAAGATGTCCTTGGCAAAGGTTTTAAAATGTCAACCTACCACTGCAATGTGTCACCATCATTACAAAAGGAAAATGCTACTTTCAACACACATGCATGTGTTTATAAAGACTTACAGGTTCCTGGGGTTCTGTTTCTTCCCATGCGCCCCAGCCATCATCTTCCCAGCTTGATGATTTACCTAATATTAAAAAAGATGAAAAGTTCTTACATGAAATAAAGAGCGTAAAAACATTTTAAAAAACATTTTTCTAAACATAATAGAACACCTGATATATAAATATTATATAAATAAAATGTTGGCATTAAGGAAGAAAGAGGTAAACCATACAATGGCAAAATTTTGCTGTATGTAACAATACTTAGAAATAATTAGGAATAAAAATTTTGCTGTATGTAACAATAATCTGGAAATTCGGGCTGAATTTCCAAATCTATGTAAAACAGTGCAACTTATTTGGATCATTAGACAGTGGATATCAAGTTTATCCACATTTAAACCAAACCACAAAGGTGAATTTTAAAAACCTTTAAAATCACAAATATTTGTTGCTCAGACATGAGACAAATTAAATCTATAGTGACAAAAGCACACCTAAAATGTCACACAGATACCTTAATGTAACTTGTTTTCTTTTTTTTTATAAAACAAAGTATCAATGAAAAAAACTCTGAATTTGAAAGGAGAGGTCTATGATTTCTGATATTTTCTGACACTCTGATTTCTCTCACATGAGAACATCTGCTCAGATTAAAATAGGATGTTAAAGAAACACCACAACAAGGAATTAAAATCTCAGAAACGGTATGAAGAGTATGAACTCTTACATGGTTCATGTTACTTGCTTTTACATAATTATCTTTGAATTTATCTCATATCACATCAGAAGAAACAAAATTACTATGTTTTTTTAATTTTTATTTATTTCTAGGAGAGAGAGAGATAGACAGCGTGATCAGGGGAGGGTCAGAGAGAGAAGGAGACACAGAGTCTGAAACAGGCTCCAGGCTCTGAGCTGGCAGTCAGCACAGAGCCTGACGCGGGGCTCGAACCCACGAACCGCGAGATCATGACCTAAGCGAAAGTCGGACGCTTAAGCGACTAAGCCACCCAGGCGCCCCCAAAATTACTGTTTTGAGCAACTACTCTGAGATAAACATTAGATATTTTACGTATGTGACCTCAAACTAAATTAAAAAACAGATAAAGTTCAAAGAAAATGTGAGAAGAGCAGGCAGTTGCAGAGCTATAAATTTAGGCCCCAGAATCAGATTGCCTCGGTTCACATCCTGGATCTAGTACTTAACCAGCAAGTTAGCCCATATCTGTAGACTTTACTTGTCTCCATAAAGGCATAGAAAACAGAAGTGCTTACATGTAACAGGGTTGTTATAGGGATTTAAATCAGATAGCATACTAAAGTCCTCAGTGCCTGACACACAATACGTTCTCAAGGCTAATCATCAAGATTTAGTCATTAAAATACTACAAAATATAAATAAAATATTGTATTTAAATCAATTAAGCTTCAGATTTCTAGGGAAGAATCATTTTAAAAGATGGGGCTGAACTGGATACCTAGGACGCTTACAGTAGGAAGGACACATCTATAACATCCAATTATACATAAAGTTTTAAAAGTTGCTAAGCTCAATTACATATAGATGGTAAGAAAGTAATGGTCTGGTGCCTGGAATCATGGCTCAATTAGCTTTGTGATAATACTCTCCTCTTTGGTACTGAAATACCAGGTAACTACTTCCTAATATGCCAAGCACATTCCTAGCCATATTTTAAGTCCTAAAGCAGTACTATCATTTGATTAACACTGTACGGCTTATAGAAGATTTCCATATACACGTCAAATAAAGAACAAGTGCTCTGATAAACACCATGTGCGTGTGCCATGCCCTGGACTGGGAACGGAGAAAAATTCAAACATATTCCTTGTCCTTAGAGAATTTGTGATCTAATGCAGCAGACAAACACATAACTATAGTGCATGATGAGTGCTGTAATACTTACTATAAAAAGAGGAGATAGAGAGAAATGACAAAATTCAGGGAGGAGTCATCGTAAACTAAGTCTTTCAAAAGCAGCCAGAAACTTTTCAAATATACTTGGAAAAAACGTCAATATGAGCAAAGGCAAAAAGAGGCAATTCACATATAGGAGTTATCACATAAAGACTAACGTGTTCAGACTTCTATGTGTCTAAGTGCTTTATAGACATTAATTCACTTAAGCATGCCAAGGATTCGTTAGCATCCCCTTACTACAATGAGAAAACCAGATTACTTAGTTTATATAGCTTGCCCAAGATCACAGAGGGTTAAGTGGTGGAGTGGGGTTTGAAACCAGGGCTCCTGGAGTTCCAAAGCCCATGCTTACAAGTGTTCCCTTATACTTGCTCTCCTACAGCTTGTGAAGAAGCATAAGAATTAGGAAACGTGGGACTAACAGTTAAAGCCACAAGCAAGATGACATATTACTTTAAAATGGAAACATTCCCTTGATATCGAGATTAGGACCTTTTTTTTCTAACTTGGAAAATTACAGTTTGTACTTTGGCAATCTAATTTGGTTAGGCAATTTCTTTATTCTCCTATTTTTTCCATTACACCAAAAACAATTGCCTTATTGTGGGCCAACGGCAACTAGGCCAATCATCTACAGGGTTTTAGAAAATGCGGTTTTTCTTGTTCAAGAAAGGAAAGTACCCTGAAAAGCTTATCCCTCTAAAATCCAGAATTCAAGTTTAATACTGCCATAAAAAGAATATGTTGAAATACCACAATCTCAGAAAGACCTCGTAAAATTGCAAGCACATCATGGGGTCAGCTAACGATTCACTCACTCACGTGCTAAGCGCTGGAGAGACAAAAGCAAATAAGCCTTCAGAGTTTAGGTTGGAAATTTAAAAACAAAAAACAAAAAACAGCTTAGCTTGTGCACATAACCTCTGAACAATGAAAAATGTGTTTTCTCCTCCGTACTGAAATAAGAAGCACCTGACTCAATTCACAAATGACTCATACAATCAAACACAAGACAGCAGCAATTCGGATTTCCTGTCCTTGCAGAGACCAGGTACCTCTTCACAGCAGAATCTGAAACATCCAGAAAGAGAAAGGCCTTGGCAAATTCTGTATATGAGATATTTGTGTCCATGAAGGTTTACCCATTTCTTAAGGCCCTTGACTGAGAAGTTCTATTAATGAGGGAAAGGGGACTTAATCAGGCATCTCCCTCATCACAGGAATACATTTTCTAAAGAAGTCAGAGCTTAAAGGAAGGTGAAACGGAACTATTACTCAGTAAGGGCAAATATGTGTGTGCAGGCTGGTCTAGAATCCTACGCCTATTTATAATACTATAAGAAAATGAATTCTGATTCTCATCAACTTAAAAGTGGAAAAAAAATTTTTTTAAAGGGAAACACTGGGAAACTGGGTACTACCGTATGGCTATTTCTACTCTGTGCCAGGGATATAAATTCTGCAGCCTCCTGAGGTCTGCTGAAAACCATCTGATACCATTTTGCAGGCTGCTCTTTGACAGCTATTGTCAGCTGTTAAAAAGTGTTGGAATCTCACACTTTACTAAGGTTATTTCTTGTGCCTTCAAACTATGCAAGCAGGCCAAGCACATTCTTTAAAAGAAAAAAAAAGACAGTTTATATTAAAAAATATCTGATGAATGTCTAATCAAGTTGCCATTCAGGTGAATAATTTTGTTCAGGCAGTCTTTCCCTCTGGTAACTTTTCTAGGAAGGCTGGTATTCTACAAGTGATCCCATAATCAGTGTTTTTAATTGGTCCTTACTCAAGGTTGTAGACCACAAAACCAGTGTATTAAATATATTTAAGAATTGTGTACCATTCAATGTCAATATGAAACAGTACTATATGACCTTAAGATCTATAAACTCTCTATACTCATGAGGAAAAACACTAACTTTTTATTATTATTTACTATAAAGAAAAGCTAAAAATAGTTCACCATGATTGTCTCTTAGAATAAATAGATCAAAATCTCCTATGTGCCAGGGTAATTTTAAAGTCCCAAGCTGTGGTATAATGTAAGAGGTAAGCCAGTTTAACAGTGTATTCTAGAATAAGGACACCAGAACATACAACCTCTTTAGGGCAGTCCGAGTCCAGTGTGAAATTCCAAACGATCCACAATTCACCAAATCATACAGTCACTGGCACGTTCCCAGTTTGCTTACTAAGCTAAGGGGCACTCGTTTTTGTCAAAGGCTAGACTGTAAATTATAAGGAAATTTTAAGTGTTTTCCCCATTAAAGAAGTAGCAAACAATCTTCAGAAAGCAAATCTTTCAATGACACTGTCAGCAACTGCTGATGCCTTTCATTATGATAAAGTCTAATTCAACAAAATTGGTGAGAAAATTAAGAGAATGGGATTCACATCCTCTGCCTTATAAAACTGCACTTACTGTCTCTTCTGCAGATTCCTCTCTGTAGGTAGCTCTGCAAGAGGTGAAAATAACCCACCAGGGATGTCTGAATTCCAGGGATGGCCTCCCCCCGCAGATGTGAGGCCAGCCATCCACGCAGCGCTACCTGAAGAACGCCAGCTTCAAAGATAAACTTTAATGCTAATCTAATCTGATCCTCATTATCCTTTATTCCTTTGCCTGCCACTACTCACTCATTGGTGGGCAGTCCTTGGCAGCACTCTCCAATAAAAATATAACAGAAGCCACACGTTCAATTTTAAATTTACTAGTAGCCATATTTTCAAAGAAGAAAGAAACAGGTAAAATTTTAGTATGTTATGTAATATAATATGGCCAAGATACCACTTCAATACGTAATCAATGTTAAATTATTCAGGAGTTATTTTACTCTTTTCCCCATACTAAATCTTCAAAATCTGATATATATTTTACCCTTAGAACACATCTCTTTGGACAAGGCACATTTCAAGTTCTCAAAAGTCTATGTGGCTAGCAGCTACACTATGAGACAGCACAGGTCTGAAACAACTATTAGGTCTATTGGTCTCAGGCTGTCTGGGATGGATACCCAGTTTTACCCCTAAAGAGTTATATGACTTTAGGCCATTTATGTAATCTCTTATTATCTCAGCTTCCTCTTTAGCAAAATGCAATGAATAACTATATTAACTTCATACTGTTGTTAGAATTAATAT